GGAGACCATCTGAAAACTCCTGTCAGTCACTAAACCAGTCAGCAGCATTCCTTTCTGGTGGCTTAATCTTTGCTAGGGAAACTAGGTACTCTCTAAACAAGAGTCCTTTGCCTTATTCATGACTTAGGAAGTTCTCCCTCCTCCCAAGAGCACAGGTTGATCCAGCAGCCTTGGAGGCTAAATCTAAAAACCACACTGAAATGTGCATAATCCAGGCATCTACATTCTCAGTCTCCCAGTGCTCCCTCCTCAAAAAACAAAACCCCATAGCTCAAACCTACTAGCCAGGCAAGGAGCAGAGCTGTGTCTTTACCAGTTCTGATTTCAGAAAAGCCAGATGAGCTTTATAGCTAAAACTGTTGGATAGTTCCCAAGAAGAGTCAGAAGTTACCTAGGAAGTTGTGTTCTTCCAACTCCAATCAGTATATACCATTCTGTAGTAATAGTCATTAGAGGAAATATAAGTGCTTATTTAAAGTGCAACTTATTAGAAATTCTTCTGCAATTGTCAAGAGGCAGCATGAGAGGATACCATTGTGACTATGCCCTTTTGTTTCCAGTCCTCAGGGACAGGACCAGCTGTTTAAACATGCATCTCTACAAATTAAAAAAGATGCCCTAGAGATGCTCACAACCTCTCTAACTTTCACTTAACACTCTTAAGTTACTGATAATCAACTGGATGGATGCACAAGCTGAGACATGGCAGTGCCCCAAAACATCCATATCAGTTACCTTTACAGTAGTCTACTGTCTAACAGGTGTAGTGCACACTGATGTTTGATGAGTCTGCCTTGTACTACTGTGAGGAGGCAGTTTCCCCCAGAACAGTGGTTCTCACCAAGAGGTAGTATACACTCAGGGGTAAGCAGAAGTCTTCCAGATGGTATATCAACTCATCTAGGTATTTGTCTAGTTTTAGAACAGGCTACTTAAAAAGCACTAGTGAAGTCAGTGCAAACTAAAATTTCATACAGACAATTACTTTGTTGATTCTGCTGCACACAATATTTATATTCAAGTTGATTCTATGATAAAAATGAGAGCAATTTTTCAGTAATAGTGTGCTGTAACACTTTCATATTTTTATAAGCAACTAGTTTAAGTGAGGTGAAACTTGGGGTATGTAAGACAGACTTCTGAAAGGGGTCCAGTAATCTGGAATGGTTGAGAGCCTCAGCCCTAGAATATGAGGGGGCTTGAAAAGTTCATCTTCAGGGCAAGGAATAAGCACTCTCCTGGGAAAGCTATCAGCTCCAGCCAAGTCTAAGCTTTCAATTGGGACCTGTGTAAGTAATGCACTGCTGTTGTCTTAAGGTCTGAAAAGAGTCCCAGGGATTTTGTTGCTTGTAGTGTTGCCAACCTGCAAAGTTACCAGTTTGTCAGTTTTCCACTCCAAGCAGTAGAAGTGTGGAGAAACTGAAAATACTGCCAAGAACAGCCCAAAAATGGAGGGCAGAGTAGCAGGGACATTCATGACAATAGCTAGGAAGCTCTGAGGTTGAAAGTGGAACAGTGCTTGTCCCTTCTGCAGAGTGTGGAAAAGATAGCCTTGGGCATTACTAGTAGAGATGATCATACAAGGGTTAGAACCAGAGCAGTTTGAACCCTTACCTCCCCCCTGCCAGCCAACAGAAAGAGGGAAGGTAGTTGCTCCCCAACTATATCTTCAGTGGTGGCAAAGAGCATTTAAGCCATCTGACTATGAATCTTCTGGTAAATTTTAAGTTCTAGGTGTGTGGCTAGGATGCACAAAATAGTGGGTGAGCAAGTGTTAAACAGCAGAGGAAAAAAGGACCATCATAATGTGTGGGGCAGATGGAACAGTACAAGTGTTCTCTTTGATACCTCTGAATAAAATGGACAGAGTTAAGAGGAAACTAGTGTAATAGGTAGTCTCTATTTAATTAGTGCTCTGTTAGCTAGGAAGCACAGCGGTACAGGTATTCATCCTGGCTGATGTGGCCAGAACAGCCCAGCAAAACACCTCTGCTCTTGTAGAGGAATACTATGGGATCTTTGACCCAGCAGATGTCCTGGTAGCAGAGTAATTGGGAATTATGCCAGGTTATTTGAAGTTAGTATTTCAGTAAGTGATCCAATAAAACCTCACAAGCAAATGTTTGCAGTCAAGGCTTATACTGAAACTCTTCCACTCCAGGGCTAGTGTAGGGAAATGTCTGTGTTTTCCCTCTCAGAAGTTGAGCTAAACATTTAGAGGATGGTATCCACTTCAAGAGATTTCTATTACTCACCAGTCATGACATTCTGCATGAAGGAAAGTAGTTTAAGAGAAATTAAAGTGGAAAGAGTACGTATGGATTTTGTGAATAAAAGATCTAAGCTAAGTAGACACCCATGGTCCTGAAGCATTCTTTCAGCTTGAAATGTGACAACTTCCCACTACTCCATCCTAGAAGTGGCAAGATATCCAGAGGCCTGGTCACCTCCCCCCATGAAAGAGGTCTATTTATAATACTTCAAGAGAACAGCATAACTTTGCTGCTAACTGGGTAGCTAAGAAAGCAATTTCTCAGGAATTTAATACTTCTACTTGGTGGGTTAACTGAAGTGCCTTTTTCTATTCTGAAATGTGCTGTCGGAAGTAAAGTCCACCATGGGTTCAACATATACCAACCAATGCAAATTGTGACCTTTTGGTGAATAAAAATTACGTCTGAAGTTCAGATGCTCATTTGACACTAGATATCAGAACTAGACTTGATGGTAGCTGTTCAGTTAAAGGACAAACCTTTACCACCACACATTGTTGCAGCAGAATTTAACCATGTTAGGTGGTTAGTGTGACTTAAACCAGACATGGTTTAGAGATGAAGCAAATTTAGTGATTGAACTAATTAACTGGTTGTTTGTTAAAAAGACAGCAGCTAGTCTGACCCATGCATTTAGAGGTTTTGGGGAGGATGTGGTATCCATTATGACCAATCCAGTTTTGATGCCATTAAGTGGAGAGCCCAATACAAGAAATCTAACTGAATGAGCAGATCCACATGACATGATTTGATGCAGTAAGGGATGCAGTTAATTGGCAGCCCAGAATAGCATGTCATAGTTAAGCATTAGGTACAGCCTTGCTTATTCTGTTATGACTCAGGCATTAGAGATCTCTGGCCAGGCAAACATTCCTTGACCCTATTGAGTCACTGTGCATACAGAGTACTTTTAAATGGATTATAAGCTACCTTGAGAACATTGTCCAGAGGTCCAGAGCAAAACACACTTCTTGCAGGCATGTTAAGGAAATGCCTTCTGTTCATCTGAAAGTACCCTTCAGGCATCATTTACAACAGTTAGACTTAGTTTCCCTTATGGAACAAGTTATGCCATTACAATTACACATTTAACTAAAGCCAAAAGATAGAGCTTTCTTTCAGAGGCTCTTGAGTTTACATTTAAGTCAGTTAACAACAACTACTGTTTGGATGCAGAAGTGCTCCTTAAACTTAAACAAGCAGCAAAGTGTTTACTATGTCATGGTTACCACAAAACTACCTCACTTTGAGCTTTTCTTCAAACACTTAAGTATTTAGTAGCATCCTTGAGGAACTCACTATGCTTGTACAGCACCTCAGATGGTGCCTATGCATTCAGATGTATCTGTATAGTAGCAGTAACAGATGGCAGCTTCCTGTCAGATGTATATGAAAGTAATTAAGTCTCCCAAATTATAGGAAGTGTTAATGGCATTTTAAGTGGACTGTGTGTTTCTGTAGAATTGAGTGTCCTTTTGCCAGTTAGGACTTCAAAGATAGACCTCTTGATGAGCAGGAGCACAAAAATATGAATCAAGCATGTTTTGAGAAAGCTGATAATTTGAGAAGCTTCACCAAGTTGGGTTTAAGATTTGATATGGGCCACATTTTAATTCAGTGTTTCAAAGACTACCTCCCCTCAAATATTACTACCCATCTGTTTTGTTCCCTTTAGTGTGCTCTTCCCCCCACCCTGCCCATTGGTGGCTGGCAGCTCCAGTCCCAAAAAGAGGAAATTGGAAACAAGGAGCAGCCAGCCTCTTTGCAGATTAGACACCCATAGATACAGCTGAAAATGAGCAGCTAGCACCATGTGACCAGTCAGCTCCTCATGGGTCAACAAGTGATCAGTGGACTTGTTTTGGGAGAAAGGTTAAAATTACTGCAATTTTCAGTTAGTCTAGAGCCTCAGTTTCCTATCAGCTTTTGAAATGCTGATAGCAAGACATGCTGCTGGAGTGCTTTGTTTTACAGAGGGTAAAACATCCTTCAGGGTTCCACCAACCAGGTTTCAGAAGCCAATACTCAGAAAAGATGCAGCAATGAAGCCATTGTAACTTATGATTCAGCCACACTATCTTAAGTCAATCCAGTGGCCAGTTTCTTGTGGACATTTAAAGGAATGTCATCTTAGTCAATGTGGGTGAGCTGATACTTCTGTGAGTGGAAGGGACAAGTTTTCAACATGGCTACAACATTACTTTAAGATGTTATTTATTTCTCAGTATATTATATCCTGAAGAGATCATGGAGTCCAGTAGTTAGAGGCCAGGATGGGAGCCAGGACTAGGTTTTTCCACTTTGGACAACTACTTGTGTCAGTTTGTCTGTACATCATGGGTAAGGCATGCTAAAGTGTAGCTTTTTCAAGGGTCCCAAGAGAATTACTTGCAAGTATCTAGTAAGTTCCTTGAGGCAGGGTGTCTTATCTAGTACTCAACACATTTAACTTTAATTTCCTGCTTTACTAGGAAGAGACTTGATTCACTATTCTGTTTTGATAGTTATTTGCCATATACCAAATAGCAAGTACTGATGTTTGTGTACAAGTTAGAGATACATAGCAGTTCCATCTAATACCAAATATACAAATAGTATTCATAAAATTACATTTAGACTTTCCCGTACAAACATTAAACTAGCTTAATGGGGGGAAGGAGGTGGGACAGGGGACTGATAGGAAAAGGCAAGCATGACAACACAATAGTGATAGAAAAATCAACTTACACTGGGGGGAGCTACAGGACAATGGCTTAACTTCCAGGCTCCAGTCAGAAGCTGCAAGGCTGCTTTGCCAGGCCAGGAGACTAGAGATCAAGAGGACAAAGCAGTCAAAGCACCATCTCAGGAGGAGACAGATGGCATAGGTTGTGGGGAGAGAGACACAAACCTGACTTTAGACTGGGGTGGGCAAACTATGGCCTGCAGTCCAGATCTGGCCCCTCAGAGCTTTGGATCTGCCCCACAGGATTGCCCCCCCATGGTGCCACAGGCCTCCTGCTGCTCTCAGAAGTGGCTGGCACCATGGGGGGGGGGGGGGGGGGGGGGAGAACCAGAGGTCTTAGTGCATTGCCCTTGCCTCCAGGCACCACCCCTGCAGCTCCTATTGGCCAGGAATGGGGAACCATGGCCAATGGGAGCTTTGGGGGAGGTACTTAGGCATGGCAAGGGCAGCACATGGAGCCCTGTGCCCCTTCCTCCCCCAGGGGCCACGCAGGGACATGGTGCCGGCCACTTCTGAGAGTGGTGCTGCTGCTGCCACCCTGGAGCTGCTTTAGGTAAGTGGTGACAGGCTGGAGCCTAAACCCCTCCTGCACATTCCCTGCCCTGAGCTCCCTCCTGCAGTCTGCACCCCAACCTCCTGAGCCCCCTGCTGCACCCCCTCCCACACCCCACACTCCCCTGCCCTGGCCCTGCATACAATTTCCCCACCCAGATGTGGCCCTCAGCCCAAAAAGTTAAGCCGACAGCCTAAAGCAGAGGTGGGCAATCAGGTGACCATCAAGGAGTGGTAGACAGTAAGTAGATAAAGTAGCCCTGCATACAGGCTGACTTAAGATCCACTTTCTCCAAAATGCTTTGCTTCTAAATACTATGCTTTAAGAAGTCTGTTTCATTACTACACACCACTGTCACAGGGGACTAGAATCCTAGGTCCTAGACACAAGTCAGACCTGCCAAGATAAAAATCATTGATGCATAGGGGACTGCAGCTGCAGCCTGGTGTGGAAATCAGGTGACTACATATCGAGAGACTTCAGTGTGAGGCCCCAGGGGGATGTACTTGAAGAAACCAGAAGAGAAGAGGTGCAGTTAACCCTGTAACTGACACCCAGGATTTGAAGTTTACAGAATTCTTGAGGACGTGGCACCTGTGATTAGTCTCAAAGTTGTGAAAGTTTAGAAACAAAATTATATCATGGCTCAATTATACTTTCTGCTGCCCTCCAAATACAGTGTGGGTGGGAGTCAATATTAGCTGTGCACAAAAGTCTGAGTTATTTTAGAGTCAAATATAAAACTGCACCATAGAGCATGTTTGTTAAAATTGTGGATTAAGGATAAGATTATGTCTGAGGTCATGGACTGTGTCTTCAGAGATCTCCATGACATTTTCTGTGCCCAGCCACTGTGGGTGCTGGGAATTGCACCCCCCCCTTCTGCTTGGGCTTTAGTCATTCCTCCCCCCTAAAAAAAAAAATCAGCTGTGCCCCCTCTCATTATTTTTAGTAAAAGTCAGACAGATCATGGGCTTCTGTGAACCTCTGGTTATTGCCTGTGACTTTTACTAAAAAAGTGACAAAATCATAACCTTATGGATTATGGACAAGTGTAAAAGTGAAAGCCTGAATGAAGCATTTGGCAGTTTTAGGGACATTAAATCTAAAATTGAGCCTAAAGGCTCAAGTCCAATAAGAGTGTTTGCAATCCAAAAGGACAGGGGGAAAAAAACTGGAGATACTGTAAACATTTCAACATTGAACCTGGAAGTGAAATTGACTAGACAGACTTGTCCAACCCAAAAAACTAAATCTTGAGACATTAGATTAAAAAAACAAAAACAACTGAGTTAAACAGGGAAATTTGCTGGTTTACAGGATAATGTAAGTTGGTGTCCTTTTGTCAGATCGGTTTCTGTACATGTTGACTCCGATTACCAATTACATTTTTATTTCCTCCTGGCCGTGTGTTTTCCCCTACTGCCATTGCTCCCTCCCTTTGGTGTCCATAGAAGCAGTACTTGTCTCAGGCTGTTGCACAGCCTGAAATTACAGCATCATGTGTGGGCTCAGCATGTTTAATCACCTGAAACTCCCCTCGCTGTGAAAGCAAATGCTGTAAGTCAGCCTTGCCTGATATCCAAAAAATTTACAACTGCTATCCTTAGGTTTGTTAATACCAATAAAAGCTACTCCTTTTGAAGAAAGCCACCATATAAAATTTTCTTCAGCAAGGGATGTCTATCAGCACAACTTTTACAGGGGGTTTTCAAACAAGATTTCAAAGGTCTCAATGAGATGGAATATGCCAGAGGCAAAAAGATAGAGTACTTCTACACTGCAGTAAGAGACCCATTGCCCAGGTCAGCTGACTCAGACTTCCAGGGATAAACATTGCAGCGTGGAGGTTTGGACTTGGTCTGGAGCCCAGACTCTGAGACCCCACAAGGGGGGAGGGGGGGAGAAGAGAGAAGGGTCTCAAGCCTGGATCCAGCCTAAGCCCAAATGTTTACACTGCAATTTTTAGCCCTGCAGCCTTAGCCCAAGCCAGCTGATCTTGGCTCCAAGCCTCAGTGCTTTTTTTTTTTCCCCAATTGCAGCGTAGACATTCCCTGATGGGAGAAGAATCTTACAAGGGTGAGGGAGAGTCTTTGCAATTTTAGGATGGGTACACAGAATGAGCAATTTTAGCAAGGCTATGCACAAACTCTGATATTAGATAAGGGTTGCCATACCCCATCCCCACCCTTGCCTCCCCCTATGAGGGGCACCCAATGAGAATCCTAGCCCCAGCTGCTTAGAAGGAAAAGGTGCTAGGATTCCACCCCCTCCTCCAAGGTTATTCCTAGTCCTTGATAGCTCCTTCTCCTGGATTACCTCTAGTGAGAAGAGATTATCTTCCCCATTCTCCAGGTCCTTGAACTAGTGGGGAAGCTAATTTTAAATAAGTCCCCATCCCTATCCTTGTTCCCAAAATAAACTGCTAGGAAGTTTTAGGTTAAGTGTCAGCCTCACCAGCAGTGTTCTTGCTCAGTACATTGCCATGCCACCAGGTGGTGGCATTTTTCTCCTCCTCCTGCAGAATGCTTAAAGAGATCAGGTGCCAGTGGAATCTTCCATTCACGATGCACCCAATACCTGCTTTTTGCTTCAATGGGTATTCTACAAAACCCCTCACCTTAGTACCTGAGGTGACTCCACTTCCCACAAGTCTTATAAGATGTGGGAGAAAAGTGTTTCCTGAATGCATTTCTGGATCTTGAGACCAAGCAGTGAGTCAAGTTTACTGCTAATGGTGTTCTCTATGCAGGAAGATTTACCAGCATCACTCCCATGTGGGCACTTATTCTAGTACAAGAGTGGCCTTTTTTGGTTCAGCTTAAACCCCCTTCCCCAGAGACAAAAAAGTCATACTGGAATAAGTGCTTACATGAGAATTATGCAGGTAAAGCTATATTGGTTTAAATTCACACCTTAGCTTATTCTAGTATCGGCCTTCCTTAGGGCTTGTCCATCTGGGCAAGTGAATCAGGACCAAACACTAAAATGACTGAGACTGAGCCCGAGCCCCTATCCATCCTTAAGGCTAGATTAGAGTTGTCCTCAGAGCATCACTAGGGTCTTGCCTATACCAGTTGGTATTACCACCATGGAAAATAGGATATCCCTTTCTAGATTAGACAAGGCTGCAGGAGTGCCAACGAGGGTTAAAACCTGGTGTTTAGGTGGCGTTAGACAATAGAGTGTTCACCACCACCTGCCATGTCAACACTAGTTTCTTCACTAGAAGAAATTAACTGGTAGCATCAGTGGGAAAGTTTCATGAGTTGAAGGCTGACACTACAGAGAATTAAAGTTGCTGAGATGTTTAACAGGTGTTTATCAATTCCTTTGCAATAGGATTTCTTTCCAGTTTAGCCTCTAGATTTCCAACACTGCATAGTACCTTAAGAGTGGAAGTATGACAGAAGAAATTTCTATTTAACCTCTATGCTACAAAGGAGGCCCTAGAGGGTCTTAAAACTGTGCTGGCCTGCCTACTAATGACATGCATGGGTTGTCTACCTCTATCTTAAAGACTAGAATCCAACTAAGTAATGAAACCTGACTGGAGAGAGAAATAAAGGTGATTCCTTCCATTTATGACTCAGGCCTTTGAGTTAAGCAAGCTATTGTTAGCAAAGGCATATCCAATGAGTCTTCAAGGGAAGAGACAGCTGCAAATACATATGAGTATTTCAAGAAAGCCTCAAAGGTAGCATTACAAAACACTGAGGTTTCTAATGGTAGGAAGTAGAAGTGAGACATCAAGAAGATCTGAACAGTGTTTCCAAAGCAAATAAGGTATTCAGATCCACAGTGATGAGCATGGTACACCTAGACAAAAGTGAGGTCACTGACTCCTCTTCACATCACCTTCAAGTTACTCACTGTTCTTCTCCCCTCCCTCTAACCCTTCTTAATTAGAAGAGGAAGGAGTTTGTCTGGGAAACAAGTGTATAATTAAGCAGCAGTGGCTTTTTTTACTTGGGTGTCTACCTCTCATTCTACCAGTCTGTGGAGTAAGATACCACACCCCGATATTAAATGGTATACCCTTGCTGCATTGTGTATATTCTAGAGAAGCCCTGCTCTGGGTCACTTGAACCAGGGGAGTTACTGCAGTATGAAGCCACAGAGGAAGACATGGACACTATATTTATTCAGAAGAGTAATCTTGTATCCTTCAAGGGATCTGGAGGCCAGCTATACAAAACTGAACCTGCAGCTACACCAGAAGAGTTACTACCCTGACAGTTAAGGTTATTTGTCCTACTTATTTTTCCTGAAAGTAGCCTTGGCTTGCTCCAAACCTGACAACTTAATGTGAAATGGTCCAGTGACATAAGATTAACATATCAGAACAAGGACTTCTTACTGTAACTTCTTACTGAAGAGAAATCTTTAGCTTCAGAGTCATTTACTTTGTAAATCAGTTTAATTCTATGCAGCTTTACTAATCTCACCCCACTAGCTCAGGTGCAGCAGAAGTGTGCTCCAATGCAAGACACTCTGGCAAAAAGCCAAAAGCAAGCATTCAATTTAGC